AGTGAGTACACTCTAGAATCGGTCAGTGTGTCCGGTCGTCCGTTTACACGATAACTTTTGAAAGGAGAGTCCGATTGCGATGAAATTTTCTACACAGTTCAGTCTTAACAATATCTCGGTCGAGTTCGAAGATGAGCATGATTGGCCTAGCCGTTCCTGAGTTGTTGCAAAAATAGTCATTTTTCCCTATGGCTTCCTATAGGAAAATCGACCTATTCTCCCATTCGTAAAAAACTTTTACTATCATAATCAAATAAAACCCCAACTATTATATACCATTTGATAGAGAATTTCACGAGCTACAAAATGGTATATAAAACATAAAGAAACAAGAAGGCTAACTCACCTATTGCAAAGATAATTCAACGGAAATTGGTTCTGTTTTTGTCCACGGCCCAATCGATCCACAATTACAGTTCTATCTTCCGATCACGGAGAGGATACTTCGAGGTTTTCAGAGGCGGAGAACTCGAATCTGTACTTCATTTGGCTCGAAATCCCATTGGTTGAGCAGTAACCAATAGAAATCAAGTGTTTTATAGAAAAAGTTTGCAAGGATAATTTTGATGTCCACACATTGTAGGATGACTCATCTGTCTCATTCACTTTTTGAAGTACACATAACCCTCGGATTTCAATTCGAGATTTCCGCATTTATTTAACTTTTCTGCTCGAAAATCATTATAATGAAGCTGTTATAAACAGCTCAACCATAACCAAGGTTCTCATGTAATTTATTTCTACTGGAATAAGTCGCTAATTCGAGGATCATTATAAAGTTTAGTTATAAAACTTGTTCACAAATCAATAAATAACACTAAAGTAGATCATAAACTTTCAAAAAAAATAAATACATGATATACATATATATGTCGTGCCGAAGTTACATTGTTTGTCGAAGTTATTTTGCATGATTAAATTAAATATTAATCGTCGAGAAATCAACATGATTATCTTAAAGCATTTACTTAAAGTCGTGTTTTCAGTTCAACAAAAATTCATAGTTGCATTTCTTAGTCAACATGGTGAAAATTGTACAAATCTTTAAGAACAATACCCTTTTACTTTGTTAAAAATGTTTCATTTTCTATTCAAAAGTGTTGGTGTGGATCTGGTGTATGATGTGCGCGAGTTGATGAGGGTATGAGTGATGTTGAAGAGAACATCTTCACGGAGATCTACACTGACAACCACGTCTAAGAAATATGGCATCAGTTCGGATTGCAACTGAGCTGAACGAAAATTGGTGGAGTTTGAGCTCCCTAAGAGTCAGATAGGTTTGGTTCCAAAAAGTCTTAAGCCGGTCTCGTCTATATCTGATCTCAAAATACAGTCTTTCACTTGTCTTCCAATTTGAACTTGGTTCAGTGCAAAAATCTTAAAATGTGATGCATTGCTTCGCTTCCAAAAACAAAAAGAAACGAACCGATCCCATATCAAGCTATTACCACGCCTAAACCCGCACTTACACCGGCACCCAAACTATTAGGGTGGGGTGTGTGGGTGTCATTCTCTTCCTCACACTCACACACCCACACCCCGCACCCACACTCACACACCCACACCCCGCACCCACACTCCAATCCGGTGACGATCTTCGTCAAATGAATATATGTCGGTTCGACTTTCGTTGTCTGCTTTATGTATTCAAGCTAGAAGCTCTCGCCGTGTTGAAAATGATTGTAACTGCTTTTCTTCGTAATGGATGGTGAAAATTAGGGCTTTTATTGATCCAAGAAGATTTTGTTACATTCGGTGGACAAAGAAAGTCGTATTCAAACACGACTTTTAGAAAAATGATATTATATCTTCCTGATATTTGTCACAGCATTACACGTTTTGCTGACAACATCCTGTTTTTCCGGAGAAAAGACACAATTTGTGTGCTCAACTATGTCTCTGCTGCAAGCTAGAGAAGAGAATATGGTAATTGAACACTTAAGCAGAAGAGTGATCTCCAGCGGTATTTATAACGATTAGAAGCTAAGCAAGATGAAACAAAAACCTGAATGATATTCATCATTTAAAAAAGATAATACTCTTATAAAAAAAGAAGCAGATATTGTCTGATAATTTGCCAAAGATGTCAAAAGTTTTGAGAGATCTATCATAAATTCTATCACTGGAAATGAGCTACGAAAATTCTCTCAATACTCGATATATTTCTTTTAGTATATCTCTTTTTTAGTGCTTTCCTTTTCACATGTTTTCTTTCCATGTTATCATAGAAAATTTCGTTGATTTCATTTTTAGAATGTGAGAAAATGATTGCTCTACAATATGTTGCGTATATTTGGTTTATTCGTTTAGCTTGTGTGAGGAAACTTAGAATAATATTATCTTGTTATCTGAAATTAGACGCCAAAGTTTGTACATTCTCGAATTTATAATGTGGAAAAAAAGACTTATTTTCTGAGAATACTCAATAGAATCAGAGTATCCTTGAATTAGATTTTGATCTTGATTGTTATTAATAGAATAAAAGCAAACATCGGACTTGATAATTCTCATTTGAATAAAATGTTAATATTATGTTTATTCATCATTATTATTTTTAGCAATAATTCTCTTGAATAATACACTGTATATTCGAATGAATACTCCATCAGCCTTAATGCTCATAATATTCATTGAAATTATTAGTAGAGAATCAATTATTTCTCTTATTAATTGAATTATTTCTAATTAATATAAAATAAAAGAGATCTATCATGAATAAAAAAATGACAGAATAAAATAAATTCCTTCACCATTCTTTTTTTTTTGAGCACTTCATTTTTTTTGATAATAAATTTTAATCCAGTATGCTAAACATTTGACTGTATCACTGAAAAGGATAAATTATTTATTAGTTTAATGCATATCAATCTTATTCGAAAACATCTTCTAACGTAATTCATACTGAATAAGAAAAATTTATATTAGATTTAAAATAATGCTTTTTATTCGATCAAGTAGAATGAATCTATTATACATGAGATGAATGTTTTATTGTTTAATTTTATTATTCAACTATTTATTATTGAAATAAAATTTCAAGAAGCATGAATTAATCACCTTTATTATGGTTCTTCTTTTCCATTTAAATCTCTAACGAAGAGAAAATCTTCAAAAATTTTCTCTATCTTCAAAGTAAAATAAAAGAAGATTTAAATACATGTATGTATGTATATTCAAAAGTATCAAGAGAGAAACAAAGCTACTACGAACTCAAAATTACCTTGTCTGACAAGTCGACCACAGGTAAAAAGTTGAGAATTATTAAAATAACGAGGATTTATAGCTTGTTACCTTACCCAAGATGGGTTCGTCGCGGCTGATGACAAATGAGTTTTTATGAATAGTAGAACAGAAAGTAATGTAGGACATAGATATGTCGACTAAGAAATGTGTTGTGGAATTAAAGGAATGAAGTAGAAAGCAATTGAGCTATTCTTTGTTGAGTAGAGTTGTGCGGAGTTGCTCTACCCTATCCTGCATATGTCTACTGTTGATAAAGCAATCATGAAATCTGTATATGAATTTCGTACCCTGGTTGTCAAAAAAGAAAAAGTTTACTAGCTGATTTTCTATATCAAAAGTTTTCCTAAGGACGCATTGCCGCATACAGGTAGTTTCTAGTGGTCCGGTATCGATTTACTTTTTCTGTTATCAATAGGATGCATGACAGGACTGATTGGAACTTAATCGATCATCAATATAGATTATATGAAATTTGATAAAATACAATGTCTTTGTTCTGATTCGTTCTCTCCAAATATTGACTTGCAAAGTTGAAAGTGAATAAAAAAGCCGAAACATGTCAAACGTGTTTTATGGATAAAAAAAGAATAAAATAAATTTGATTGTCAAAGAAACCATCAATGTTAATAGAAGTATTGTATTCATGTGTAAGTTTCACCTCTTTTTGCATGTTTAGTCACTTTTTCAGAGAACATGAACCGATCATATTTACAGTCTTAAACTTCAACATTGTAAAATATGTCTAAAGTGCTCATATAATATAAAAAGGTAATGATTATGAGCATAGAACATGTATTGAATGTTGTCATAAATTTTCAACAAATATGACAAAATGAAATTATGAAAATAACCCTAATTGTAAATATTATACTTTGTACGGTAAAGAATGACGTCCTATTGAATTAACTTGCAACATTTGTTTCGTTGTTGTGTTACATATGTATGTACAACAATTAAATTCTTCTTAATAAAAATACACTCGTACAGTTATTTGCATTCGTCAACAGACGAATATGTTATTTGAGGAGGAGACAACGGAGACTTTCGTCTTGAAGTCTTTGAGTCATAGCTTTTAAAATAACATCTGGTACAAAAGCAATAGTACAAATGTCGACTGCTACGCTTCTTTAATAGAAGAGTGCTGAAAAAAAGAACTTTTCTCTGTGAAGATAGATATCTCTGCGATGAACACTCTGAAATGAATATTTTTCCATCAAACAATAAGAACCTTTCTCTTCTTTCGAACAGTATATGCTTTTACGAATGTAAGGCAAATATAAATAATATAATGTTCGAAAGAGGAAAAACTTTTCTATCGACTGATGGAGAAATATTCCGTATAGAACGTGCTTATCAAAAAACTATAGGAATTAACGTTTCATCTCTTTTTATTGACTCTGAGGAAAAATGCGGATTTGTTTTGGATGTGTTCGTCTTTCCTGTTATGTAATTTGGTTCATAATATAAACAGATGATAAATTCTATGCCTTCTGGTAAAAAAATTTTCTTTTAGCATTCTTTTACTGAAGAAACACAGAATTCGACATATATCTTAACCTCACATTCTCAACAGTTGCAGTTTGATCGAAGTAAAACTAGATAATTTGCGGTGCTCTAGCTTAGTAGTGTGTGTAAGTGTAAAGAGAAGATCCCATACTCATATGGACATCCTTTTATTAGTGTCTGTGTTTTATTGTGTCATACAAGTCTATTGTTATTTTGTTTTATACATAGAAAAAAGTTAAATTGAATATGTCCTATCCTTCAGTTGAAGATTGTTTTGCTAATAAATCTCGAATTTCACGTAATACTTTAACTTCTTCATTTGTTTCAATTTTTATATTTTCTTCTTTTTGTTTTGTTGTAATTTGACGTAATTTATTAATACCTTTAATAACAAAGAATAATGCAAATGCCATAATTAATAAAGATATTATTGTTTGAATAAATTTTCCATAACGAATAACAACAGGTGGTTGATCCTTATAAACGAAATTTTTCATTTTAATCGTTAAATTAACAAAATCCACACCACCCAATATAAGACCAAATGGAGGTGTCAGTATATCATCGACAAGTGATTGAACTACATTAGTAAATGCTGTACCAATAATAATACCAATGGCTAAATCAACGACATTTCCTCGAAGAGCAAATCTATATAAATTTACAAGATTTAAAATGAAAGAATAAACTATAAATAGAAGAGGAAGAAACGGTTAACATGTTTGACTTTTAAATATTAACATAATACTCGAACTTTTCTTCTTGTAGCATCAAGCTTTTTTAATACATATTTCAAGCTACTCGTATGTCAAAGTCATCGCTAATGTTTCACACTATGTCATTTCAGAGTTAAACTTTGGTAAAAGTTTGAATACATACGCTTTGAATTCGTTACAAAAATTTCGACAACAAAGACAAAAACCAGCCATCTAGTCGAACGTGAAGATTGTATACTTAAATTGTTAGATTGTGTTTCTTAACTACGTAATGTATGAAGCAAAGAATAAATTTCAGTATCAGTTATTCATAATCAGGTACGAAAACTCAAATGAACTATGCAAGAAAACAGTCATCTATCTTTTATATGAATAAATCTTAGATAAAGAATTCTATCTTTGAGAAGAGAAAGATAGAAAAAAAAAGAACTATTAATTAAGGCAATAAATAACAGCAACAGTTGGCGTTTGTGTTTCATGTTAGCTCAACATTGTGCTTATGAAGTCAAAGAAATAAAAACAAAAGAAAAAGAAACTACTCATGCTGTTCCGTACTGGAATATGTTTATGTGATTTTTCTTTTATTCTGTGGCATTTGTTCATTGCTATGCTAAAATATGTTTGATTTGCATATTCAATGTGTCATATTTGAAGTTATTTCCTGAAAAAAACATTCTGATGCACTATGAATAAACATTTTTTTCATGCTACTATAATGTAAAATGGAGTAGTCTACAAGAAAAAGCTTTTTGAAATTTTTATTATAAAAACGAGCATATTAATTATGGGTTTTAATTAGTATTAGAAAAAAAAGTAATATGATTATCCACTAGGATTGATTTGACGAAAATTTTACGGATGATTGTTGTGCTAATAGATCTCGAATTTCACGCAATACTTTAAGTTCGTCAGTTGCTTCATTTTCTAAATCATTTTCAGCTGTCTTTTGATTTTTTCGTGCTATCTTATGTAAATGATTGATTGCTTGAATAACAAAAAAAAGTGTAAATGCCACAATGATCAAAGAAATTATTGTTTGAATAAATTTTCCATAACGAATAACAACAGGTGGTTGATCCTTATAAACGAAATTTTCCATTTTAATTGTTAAGTTAACAAAATCAACACCACCCAATACAAGACCCAATGGAGGTGTAAGTATATCATCAACAAGTGATTGAACTACATTAGTAAATGCTGTACCAATAATAATACCAATGGCTAAATCTAATACATTGCCACGAAGAACAAATCTGTTCAATTAAAAGAATATTAAAAAGAAATATGTTAGAATAAATACATACGCTTTGAAGTCTGTACAAAAACCCGCACAGCATTGACCTAGACATGCCATATTTATCTACAGAATATATCAATATTGTTTTGTCTGATGAGATTTTATAAAATATAATCTTTATATAATTAATACTCTTTTTAAAAAATTTCGTATCGTAGGAAATCCCAAATAAAAAAAAAAAAGGTTTTCAACACAAAAATATTCGCAATAGAGATCGACATGTTGAGTTCACGCTCTGAATCAAAATCTTGAAAAAAATAAATTTTTAGAAAATAAAGTCTAATGTAGCTCAGGTACCTATGTTGAACTGACTAGAATCATTAGAAGATCCCTAATTTGTACACCGTTCTATCGTATAAGACTTATTCTTTTTGATCATAATCGATGTGTTTTTACTAGTGAAAAACAAATAAATGATAAGTTTCTATCTATTTGACATTGAGATACCAGCATAAATATGAAAAATGACATTCATTATTTTGCTACAGTATCTTTCATCATTTCAGACTGTCATTGGTTTTACCCTTATGAAGTAATCAACCGAATGTTGATGTTATATGTTCTTAGTTATACGAGACAGAATGGAAATAATCATCCATTAATAAGAAAAAAAAACCAGAAATGCTCTTTTTAACCTCTAGCAATATGTATATTAGATATTATCCTTACTTCATTTTCTCACATATTTTTTCATAGAACGCATACAGATAAGTTCTATACTTTTTGTATCCCATATCATAAGGGAATAAAGACGTAAGATATGGTCTTAACGAGATTTGTTGATCAAAACCAATTAGCGCAGAAAAAAAGTCTCATACGTAAACTTAATGGTAATCTATTCAAAACAAACTAATCAGATTTTGATTATAATCTTTTGAAAAACAAACAGACTTTTATAAGTAGAATAATCGAAGATGACGAGAATTTCAGTCACTTAATAAATTGTATTAAAAAAACCAAAATACACTACAAGATGCAGTATAAAAAGCTCTAAAATCTACGAAATAATACTAATATTAATGGTGTGCCTTTTATTTACAAAATAAGCAGATTTCTGCGCTACGAGTTTTGACGCTGCGACCATAATCCTTGTTTATCTCATCGATGAAAGACAATTCTATTGATTGATGAAAAATATTTCTTATTTGGAATAGTATTTATTTGCTAGTTGACAAGAAGCAGACAAACGAAACAGATATAAACCAAAAGGTCAAGCATCCAGAAAGAATTATGATGCGGTTAGATGCATCTAAAAATGGTTCTAAGTCTTGCACTGTACTAAATTTGGTAAAACATTATTACATGAACATTATTTTGAAGTTGTTCTTCCACAAACATCAGCTGTCAATAATATAATATCATATATGAAGATAATACCATATATTTTAGAGACAATCACAGATAACTAACAAATAGTCTTGATCTCAATCTTCTAGATAACTAAATATGAAAAAGGAATTCGTCATGGACCAATAAATGATTTTGTTTGCAGTATCGAAATTTGTTAAGTCAGAAATTTATTCATTTTGAAAACAAAAAGTGTAACTATAAAATAAGCTATCTTTTGTAAATTGTAGAAAATTTCACGATGCAGCTTGTGATATATGTTGTACTTAGGAAAATCTTTCAATATTATAATCATTGTTTGTGTTAATTCTTTTCTCCAAGGCAAGATTACTTCAGTAAAATTCTGAAAATGTTTAAAACTATCGATTTGGCTATTTTGTTTTTTTTTTCATTATTGACTAATTAGATGAGTCATGCTCATTAAATTGAACAGAATAAATATTAACTACCGCGCCGTAAAAATAAATAATTAACATTCAAATATTCATATATACAGGGGAACTCAAAAGTCAGGAGATACTTATTTCAATCTGTAAGATAAGCCAACAAAACCATAGAATTTTCTCTTACAATTAGAGAAGAGCAGTAAGATATATTTGTACGTTTTTGAGTATATTACTGTAATCAAAGACTAACCATATGCTACATCTTTTACTAGTATCATCCTGTATATGTACGTATGAACTTTGAGAAAACTTAGAAGATATCATGTAATTTTTTCAACGTTATTATTTTGTTCTTTTTTTAAATCAATCAAGAAAAACAAGAAACTATATAGGTATACTAGCTGATGTTCTCATTGATTAATATAATGAATTCATTGAATATATGGTTATTGTTCAATTTTTATTTTTATTTTTATTTTTTCATAACAAATAAAGAAATGTGCATAGCCTTATATTCACCGGAGTTTATATTTAGTTTTGGTTTATTAATATCTGACAAATAGAAACCGAGCACAAAATAGAAAATAAGTAAATGATAAACTATCGTCGAAGTTGCTGATGAAGACTGAGCATTTGTGATGATACTAATGGTTTCTATAAAAACAAACAAATATAGTAAATTATATGTATATTCAATATATTATACTTGAGCATAAAAAGAAGGTGCTTCTTGTGTTTTAAGTCGTTTTGAAATAGGTTCATGATTTTCTTGCATAGCCTAACAATTAAATATTCATCATCAAAATAAATTTAGTTCAAATATTTCTTCTTACCAGAAGATGTACATGTGTATGTTGTTCTGGTACAAGAATCATCTTATGAACAGGTGCATGGCAATTTTCTTGTGTGATTTGTATTGATGATTCTTCGATTGGAGGAAGTACAGGTTGAACAGCTGGTTGTTGTTGTTGCTGTTGCTGTTGTTCTTCTTCTTCAGCAATAAACTCTCGTTTGCCATATGGTATTTCCATACCATAGAAAGCACTAGTAAAATAAAATAAAATAAAATAAAAACAAAACAAATGTTTTTCTTTTATCAAATATATAAATATACTCTTGATGAGGTAATGGTGATTGTTTAAAAAAAGGATCAGTAAGAGCTTGTTCAGCTGTAATACGTTTATTAGGATCAAATGTTAAAAAACGTTTCATTAAATCTAATGAAAAACTTGGATGTCCATTAGGAAAAACTTTTTTCATCCATTGTTCTATACTACAATGACCATAACTAAAAAATAAAAAAACAATGAAATACATAAATTGAAGATTTTCTTGAAATAATTACTGAATAGCTCGAAAACCTTCTTTACTCAATCGTGGATGATCTGGCATTTGTTTAATACCGGGCCAATCATTATCTAAAAATAATATTATAAAATTAAAAATAAATGATGGCTTATAAATAACAAGATAATAAAAACATTCTATATCTAAGGTTTCACTCATAAGAAAACCTTCAATGAATAATATTGATTAAAGTACATTACTAATCAAAAGTATCCTCATAGACGCATTCAAGGACTACATAATGATAGATTCTTTTAGTAATAAGTTTCTCTTCTCTTCTATATTTATAGAATTCAGAGCAAAAAGCATTGTCATAGACAATAACTTCTCTTTAACTGAAGCGAACGAATCCAACCGGTTACTATGATCTATATTTCTAAGATGACACATATATTCTAAAAACCTCAACATATTGTCTCGCAGATCCTAGAAGGCTTTTTTGAAAACTATGATATGAAAATTCCATTTGAATAAATGCAAAATTGTAAACCAAATGAGCACTCGTCGACTTTTCACTACATGTTAATACTTTTTTTGTTCTTTTATCTAGAATATATATTATTCAAAATTCATAGCTACCTGATGGATAACCAAGTACTTGAAAAATTTTTTCAAGTGCATCACGATTAAATGGTGATGATGCTTTTATATCATCTTGTTTACAATGAAATAATGGTTCAAGTGTTAATAATTCATATAAAATACATCCAATAGCCCAAAGATCTATTTCAATAATAAATAAATAAAATCATTATTATTAAAAATCATTATTTACCTATTGCTTTTGTATGATGATGACTACCAAGAAGAAGTTCAGGTGATCGATACCACAGTGT